TATACATACTTGCTTTAAAATGATTACTAGATTTCATCCTTACTCATCATATGCTTTGTGTCCCTTTAACCTACTTCCATATCGAACTGTATTCCTTCATTTAAGGCAGCTTTCCTGGGATCTCAACCCTCTTTTTTGACAACTTTGAACATTCATTCTCTAATCTGTCTCTCATGAGTCCCTCGACTTTAGAATAAGTGCAATGCTGCATCACTGCGGCGCTCCTTTAAGGAAAGATGGTGTGAAAATGATTGATCCCTACGGATTTCCATTACAGTGAAGAATGTGATAAAAAAGGAAAGATAAAAAACAAATGTCCTTGTCATGGTAATCAGAGATTTCATCACTCAGAATGAATGCAATCCTGCTTCGTGGGCCACCGGGAGATTTCCTGATTTTTACAGATTTACACATAACAGACTTCATTCGAGAGGGTATTGCAGCTTCAGAGCAGGATGCACACAAGTCTGCGAGGGAGGATTTCAATCTACAGCCGCCACAATCCAAGTCAGGGTTCATCGAGAAGGCAGCCCGCCTTGGTAATGGACCCGAGGTCACGATGTATGAAACCGCTGCGAGCGAGACTTCCCGCGAGCTGCTCGACGTTCAGCAGTGAATCTGGTGTGAAACAACATCTTTATAGAAGCTGGACCACAATCAGAGGTCAGCCCCATTCAAAATCTCTCTCATCCTCCTCTCCCTCTTTCTTTCACTCTTTACAGAGCTACATCTACATATTGATCAGGCGGAGAGAGACACGAGACGGCACGGTGACACAACGGCTCTTTGTCCCACGCGTGACCGGGCACGCCGGTTACATCGCGCCGCTGCCTCGCTGCTGTCTCTCCGCAACCATCGCCACCCGACGAGCAGGAGAGAAGGAGGGAGATGTAACGAAGGCATGCGAGGAGGTCAGAGCGATGGATTCTGTTAACTACTGAGATCAATCAATTCAGCTGATTTAAAAAGGAGCTTTACATAGTTTGCTTGTTTCCGGGTTCACTTGTTGGTAACGAACTGCTACAAATATATAAACAGCAAAGAACCCAGAGGTGTCCCGCCCTGCTCCATCAGGATCCCTCATCCAGTCCCGGTTGCACAGGCCGGGGCATCTGTCGGCCAACTTAAGCCTGAACAGATTAACACAATGCTCAGCACAGGAGCATGTAGGGCCACGGGAGCATGCAGGGCCACGGGAGCATGCAGGGCCACGGG